AAAAAAAAAAAAAAAAAAAAAAAAAAAAAAAAGATTTATTTATCAACACTTAGCAACTACATATACCAAAGTTTTATTTGCTTTAAAAAAATAAAAAGAAGAAGAAAAAAGTGGATTTTCTATGTGGAAAATTACAAACAATTTATTGCAAAACAAATAAATTACTACTGGAATACATTTAGACGAAATGGATAACAAACAGCAAAAAAAAAAGAAAAAGGAGGAAAACAAGGAAAAAGAATTCCTTAGATATGTGACGAAAATAATCATTTGTAAACACACACACACACAAACAAACAGTAAAAAATTTAGGAGAAAAAAAAAAGGAAGGAAAAGAATGAACACCAATACGATATATTTTTTGCTTGTTTTTTTTTTCGTAGCAGAAAAAAAAAGTAGGGGTGAAGCAATAGACGGTTATTTTCAGCTATATTTAAGAAAGAAAAAACCGATCTTTTTAATGACTACAGATAAATCAGATTCTAACAACAGTGCCAACAATTTCTACCAACATCAAACAGTCAGTAAAACAAGAAAAATATTGAACTAAACTAAACTAAACTTTAAAACTGAAACAATTAGTAAGTAAAAAAAACAAAACAAAACAGTATATCAGTTAATAAATATCAAATGAAAAGACTAAGATAGAAGAAACAAATAAAACAGACTTCTTTTCTTGTTCGCTATAACATTATTTGAAATAATAGTATTTACTTAGATCACTTTAAACTTTTTACCAATTGCCTCAAATGCATTGATGCAACGATCAATTTGATCACGTGTATGTGCAGCTGATATCTGAAAGAAAAAAAAATATCACGAATTATTAGCGGTGAAACAAAGGAACACAGCAATTATTAAATTCTTTATTTAGTCATATTTTGCACTAAAATTTTAGATAATCTATAGTATTGCTTCTTAACCAAAGTGAAATAAAAAAAAAGTGGAGAACAGAAGAGAATTCAATAACACTAAGCAGATAAATATCTGTTTAACTTACCTGAACACGTATTCTTGCTTTTCCTTTTGGTACTACCGGATAACTGAAGCCAATAACATAGATTCCTTCTTTTAACATTTCATCAGCAAATTCACTTGCTAGTCTAAATACAAAATATTTCAGAGATCAGTTAACAATAGCTGCTATCAGTTACAATAATAAAAAAAATAAAGTGTAATCAAACAACAAGTTAACTTTTATAATACCGTGCATCTTTTAAAAATACTGGACAAATTGGATGATCCGGATTTCCAAGAACAGTGAAACCAAGACGCTTTAGTGAACTACGAAAATGTGTTATGTTTGACTTAAGTGTACGTGTAAAGTCACTGGATGTCATCAACATATCCAGCACCTAAACATAACGTATTGTTATACCAGGTGTAATGGAAAACAGTTGTTTACATTGCAAAACAGTACTTTTAACGATGCTCCAACAATTGATGGTGCCAACGAATTGGAAAATAGGTATGGACGAGATTTTTGTCGCAAAAGATCAATTAGCTGTTTTGGTCCAGTGGTATAGCCGCCCATAGCACCACCAAGAGCTTTTCCAAGTGTTGAATTAATTACATCTACACGTCCCTGTATCCCCAGTTGTTCCTCAGTTCCTCTACCAGTTGGACCAAAGAATCCTTAAAACCATACTGATTAAGCATTGAAAAGTGGCCTTCCTTTTTTGAATCTTCTACAAAATTTTAACAGTTAAAAGAACTTTAGCAGAACCTGTTGCATGACATTCATCAATAAATACAAGTGCCTTATGCTTATCAGCTAAATCGCAAATCTCTTTCAACGGTGCAACATCACCGTCCATACTGAATACTCCATCCGTGGCAATAACACGACGGCGACAGCCTAATATTTCAAGTATTTAGGAATTAGCCTTAGCATTATAGGAGTATAAGTTGAATTTAAAACTTAAAATTTTCAAATTTAATAGTTTACTTTTTGTTTCTTCAAGAATTTTTTCAAGGTCATTTAGGTCCATATGCTTGTATCGGTATCGTTTAGCCTTACATAAGCGTACCCCATCAATTATTGATGCGTGATTTAGTTCATCAGAAATTATTGCATCCGATTCACCTAGGAAATAGCTGGTATTAAACAGTCAGGAAAACGATTTGAAAATCTTATAATAGTTATTTCAGATCAAAAAAAAGAGAAAAAGACAGTGTTAACAGCACCACTGCTTTTGGTCGATTTTCTTGATTATTATTCAACCAAAAAAATTGAAGCTTTTTTCCTTTTGCTAATCGAATTACCTTAAGCTGTCTTAGCAACGAACAACCAATATTTTTCTATTTATAACAGCTGTTTTCAGTTCCGTATTTACAGCATATTATCGATAAATTGTCAGCTTTTGTTGTCTGCTTAACACTTTATGTTTTTTCATAATTTATTTTTTTGTAATAAAAAGATTTTTTTATTTTAAAACATATTTGTTGCACTAATTTGACTTTATTGAAACAATTGTGGTGTTATCCGTAATAAGTTTGCTAAATGACCAGATCATTTGTTACCATGAATAGAAAATAAAATTTCTGAATTAAACACTGAAATTTTGCTTAGAATTATAGGTATTAAAGAATTTGAAGTTGACATAACCGCGTGATAAACTTTGCAGTGTTCCAATGACAGGAATTCCACTTCTTTTTCAGCCATTTCTGCCAACAAACTTACAGCGCAGTTAGTCACTGTTCAGTGATAAACGACTACACTTTGGTCATCTTTCACATTTCTGTCTTCTATCATTGGCAAAACTATTTTCTGATTAACTATCAGAATTTTACTGTTCTATACTTTTTTTCAAAATTTTCGACTTTATCATTTCCTTATTCGCATATGTTTAGCAAATATAATTTTACTTTTTTGTTTTTCTAAACCTTTTCTTTTTCCTGTCTTTTAACCTGATACTAGTAAAAAATCATACCGGTAAGCACGTCAAAAACTCCACCATTAGCGTCAAAACATGCGGCGTACAGAATAGCATCTTCACGCCCATGAAATTCAGCAATTTTTAGCTCCAGTTGACGATGAATATCCTGAGTACCGCAAATGAAACGTACCGAACTCATACCGGCTCCATGCGTATCTAATGCATGTTTTGCTGCCTTAATCACTTCTGGATTACTGCTAAGACCTAAAAAGAGATAAAATTCTTTCTTCAACTACTGTATAATTTTTAGATAAATCAAAATTGATTTTTTTCATTAGTTGTTAAGAAAAACTGAAAAAAATGTTGTAGTTAAATGTAATTTTTTCATATTCAACTTTTCCTTGACGCAATAACTAGAAAAAAAAATTGCTTTTTGTTTTGTTTTTATCAATTTTAGTAGTTTTTTTTTTCACAGTATTAACTAACCCAAATAATTGTTGGCACAAAAATTAAGCAACGGTTTTTTGCTGCCTTGAACATGAATTTCCATTCCTTGTCGGCCAACAATAACTCTTTCAGATTTATATGTTCCAGCATCCTAGAAAAAAAAAAATCTTTTTCTATTTTTTTAATTTAATTATTAACAATTCTGATTATATGTTTTATCAATTGCAATTTAATTAAGCAGCCTGTATTAACATTTATCGATGTTAAATATACAATATAAAGTTGATGATTTGTATAAAAAAAAAAAGGGATTGGAAACAATGCGGCAAAGAATGAAAAGTGATCTAAGAAATTTGTTTGCAACAATATTCGAACAACAACAATCTTAACAACGCTTAGTCAGTAATCGTGTTTAAACTTCAACATTTTTGAGCATTAGGTTAAGTTGACGCTAAACAGTTGATGCTTTCTTAGTCTACAAACAACAACAAATTGTTCAAAAACCTATCGTCAAACTATTGGTGACCAAAAAAATTTTTGTAGTTTAGTTAATCGTTGTTATGTGCTGTGACAACAGAAACCCCGTAATTGACCACAACTCTCGACTCTCGATTTATCAGTCTTTTCTGCCTCATCCTTTAATTAAGTCGCCAATGTTATAGTGTTTGCTCAGTTAAATAAACTTAACGATGCTTAAGTGTCAATTGGTTACATCTTCTAAGAAGTTTCCTCCTCAGTCTCCCCTTACGTCTCTTCTTCACCTCTCTCCCAACCACTCTTTTTTGGTTCAAAAAAGAAAAGTCAACAGAACGATCTATCAGTCTTTTCTGTTTGAATAAGAAAGAAAAAAAAGTTTATTTTTCTTTGTAGTATATCTTCAAGTTTACTTCTTTCTTTTTTTTTTCTTGTCCTAATAATTATTCAGTTTATTATTTGCGTTTCTAAATTGACAGATTCTTTTTGAACAAAATTTTTTTTGAAAAAAATTTTCTTTTATTTCTAGACGAAGTGTCTTTTTTATAGTATAATCTTCAAAAGAAAAAAAGTTTGTCTACTAAACTATTTTCTACCGTTGTTAATGATTAAAAAGTATTAGCGCTTTACGTAAATGTATTTGAAGATGTCGACATTAATGATATGTAAATATCAGAAACCGTCAATTAGCTTTCCCCTTTTTTTTTTTGCAGATGTTTTATAGCCTTTTCAACAGAAGAAAAAAAAAAGCAACAAAAAAAAAAGATGACTTTTTATTGTACAGCACAAAAAATGTTTTAAGTTTTAATTGCAATTATTTGTTAAGTATTTTGTAGACATTATTTCTTAACAATCTCTTTTTTTTTCCCCTCATCTGTTCATTCAGTCATTGTTCCCTAATGACATCAATAGTTTTTTTTTCTGTTTTTGAGCCATTTTCATTTGTTTATAAAATATTATCAATAAAAAAACAATAAAGTTTTTCTTTTTTTTGTTCAATAGATGCCGAAAATACAAAAATAAAAATAAAAAAACGCTGTAACAGATGAACCGATTCTTTTTTTTTTTTTTTGCTTTATGCCGATACTGATTATATGTATTAACACTGTGGTACAGAAATTGGGTCCGTGTCATTGCCCTAAAATCTGTAATTAGCAATGCAACAGTTACTGTTACCTTTCAGAGCAAAAACAAAGAATTTACTTAGACGATTAACCAAAAAACTTTAGAATACAGATTTTTTTTTAATTTTGTTAAGATTTGTTAAGCAATATTTTAAGAAAAAAAATTCTTTTACTTTTATAATATCTTTTTTTTTTTGCTTTTTTTTTTCGTCTTCTCTAATCTTCTTTTTTTTTATGTGTGTCTGTTTGCATTTGTGTTTACCCACAAAAATATACATTAAAAAAAAAACACTTAAATTTTGCTTGAAATAAACTGTACAAATATTCAATGAATACAAATACACATAAAAATATACAGACAAAAAAAAAAAAGCTTTTTTTTTTCAAAAGCTTTTGTAAAAAAAAGAGTGAAAAATATGATATAACAAAGCAAAAAAAAAAAGTGCGAGAAAAAAACCGGGTAACATATGATAGAAAGAAAATGAAGAGAATCTATTTAAGAAAAATAGTAAAAGATAGGGGTTTTTTTGTCAAGTCATAAGAAACTGACCAAAAAAAAAAACAATTACTACAAATTCTTAACCCTATTTCTAATGAACTGTACGCCACATCATTCCCCGCAGTAGTTTTTTTGCCATCTCACAGCCTTCTTCACCTATTAACTTCAAACCGTGAAGAAGACGAACAACGAAAAGCCAATAAGACGAAAGACGAAGGACGACTAACGGCGACAACAACGATGGCAAAGATAAAAGAAAAGAGCAAAAAAAACTGAAAAAGTTGAAAAAAAAA